AGCAAAGCCTGGCAAGCTACCCATGACGTATTCAGTATGCCAAACACAGTAACACTGGTCGCAATGGAGATGTTACTGGGCCCGCTTGAGCAAATTGATGAACAATTGATGAACTGTCATGGGAGGACCATGACAGTGACAATGAACATAGGAAAAGCTAACCCCAAAGCCTGCACAAACTTAACTCTAACCCCAACCCAAGACTAATCCTATTTCCAATTCAGTCATTAGACTTACCCTGATCCAAGAATAGGCATAAAAGTACTAGATTAAGGAATACCTGTTACAGACTAGAGTGTTTTTTACACTGAATGACACACAAGCATTTGTCTTTATTGACGACTTGCTCCACAGGTGCACAACTGCTCCTTTGTATGTGGGTTCAGTGCCAACATGATTTCCTTCCTGTAAGCAGAATGACAGCCATGATGGCTACTGCCCTGGGAATCTCCTTAGAGTTGCCAGCTTGCTGACCAGAGATATTTATTCCTCTCCAAATCTTCTTCATGGTGAAGATGCTTACTGTTTGAAACAGACAACAAGAGGCCACCAAAACGATTGGAAATGTCAAACAAGTGGCAGTTGGCACTGAAGAGGTTACAGAACATTCTGGATATGATGAAGGAGAGTTCTGGGTTTTTGGAAGGGCTTTGCATATTGATGGCTGGAGGGCAGGTCCTCTGGTTTTGATCTATTTTTTTTTTCCAATTGGGAAGAAGCAGAGTAGCTCACCAAGTTTAATGACTGGAAAAAAAAAAAAAACCTCAGAAGGCTCGACCAGCACCAACCAGCTCTATAAATTCTCAGAGAATGGCTTTAATGATACCATAGTGAGAGTGTTTAACGAGGTCAAAGAAACAATGGTACAGATAGCAAAATACAGAGTATGAGAGCCAAAATAAGAAAACTGTCATTAGAAGTGACAGAAATGAAGAGTATGGTAGGCGATAGAAAAAACTCAATAGAAGGTCTGAACTGCAGAATAACAACAGCTGAGGAGAAGTTCAAGGAGCTTCGAGATGAGATGAAGGAAACTTCTAGAAAACAACAGAATATGGAAAAAGTCTGAAAATAAATGAACAGCACACTAGAAAACTATGTTCAAAAGGAACAATATCAAAATCTTCAGAGTTTCTGAAGAACAAAAAGGAAGGCAAATTCTTTGAAGAAACGATAGTTAAAGAAATCATAGCTTAGAATTTCCCAGAATTGTGGAATATAGGTACCCAGATCCAAGAGGGCAGAAAAGTCCCAGTGAAAATAGACTCAAAGAGAAAAACTCCAAAACACTTACACTCAGAATGAAAAGTCAAAGTCAGAGACAGAATATTGAAAGCAGCAAGATAAAAAAGGGAACTTACACACAAAGGAAAGCCCTTGAAATGAACATATCTTATAATTCAAAGAGTCAGAAGAATACTCTATCCAGTTAGATTATCATTTAGATTTAAATTAAATATACTGAGTTTCGGGAACAGACAATAGCTTAGAGAATCTATTGCCTTGAAACTAATTTTGCAAGAAGTATTAAAAGGAGACCCCATATAAGAGAACACAAAATTCTCCTTGGCATTTGACATTGAGACTAGCTTTTTCATGGTACTTATGGTTGCCCTCTACTAGATAAGGAAAGATTTCTTTGCTCCTAGTTTGCTAAGGCATTTTACATATTTTGAATAATGAATTAATGTTTTATTTATATTGAATATTTTATGTCTGATCTGGTGTTTTACTCTAACATCCATCGATATTTTTATTACAATATTTACTTAGTAAAACAAATATTTCTTTTCCCTTTATTTTATTTTATTTTTTTTTACAGTTGTAGATTTACAAGTTTTTGTGCTTTGGTTTCAATTATACAATGATCAGATACCCATCCCTCCACCAGTGCCCATTTTCCACCACCATGGATAATATCCCTCCCACCCCCATCCCCCCATCCCCCCTGTCTCTGTGGTAGGGCAATCCCCTGTGTTCTCTCTCTCCTTTTGGGTGTTGTGGTCTGCAAAAGAGGCATTGAGTGGCAAACATGTTCAGTCCATAGTCTACTTTCGACATGCATCTCCCCTCCTAGGAGGATCCTCCAAACACCCTTTATTTGGTGCTCCCTTCTCTATCTGAACTGCCCTTTCCTCTAGGGTACCCGGCTGGCCTCTAAGTTATGGAGTAATCCTCCTGGTGCTGATCTCAGCTATTCTTGGGTATTAATCTCATACTTTGTTACTTTATATCCCCCAGATGAATGCAATCTTTCTATGTCTATCTCTCTCTTTCTGACTCATTCCGCTTAGCATGATACTTTCCATATTGTACCACTTGTATGTAAATTTCATGACTTCATCTTTTCTAACAGCTACATAGTACTCCATTGTGTAGATGTACCAAAGTTTCTTTAACCAGTCATCTGTTCTTGGGCATTCAGGTTTCTTCCAGTTTCTGGCTATTGTAAAGAGTGCTGCAATGAACAAACAAGTGCAGATGTCACTTCGACTATACATTTTTGCCTCTCTGGGATATATTCCCAGGAGTGGTATTGCTGGGTCAAATGGGAGCTCAATTTCTAATTTTTTGAGAATCGTTCATACTGAGTAAAACAAATATTTTTAAGCATTATCTATAATATACAATTTTTTAACATGAAGACAATATTCCCTTTCTTCGGAAAAAACACACATACGTGTTTCCATAGGCCTATTTAAATCTTCCCCTTAAAATGTTTTTGTCTCCTCACTTCGACTAAAATTTGTATTTGTAGGATTTATCTATTTCACATCAAATTTAAAACGTATTAGAACAGAATTAGTCATACAATTTATTTTGAAAATGTATATACTTATAGAAAAAGAAAAAAACAATTTTCGAAAAAAATGTATAGTTTTGGAAAAACTTTATTTTGTCAACTTCTTAATTTATAAATTTTTGGAATTTCATTGATATGTGTGCAATGCCACCACCTTCACATCAAATGTTTTAAAAAATTTTCTTATATGTATGCTAGAAAAGATATAGTAAGGGAACAATAACTGGTCAAAGTTTCTGGAACTGGAGATTTTGTATCTCGAACCGAGCATTCCTGTGAAAGAGAGGAGGCCTTGGGACACTAGTGGAGGGAAGTGAGCACTCTGGTGATAAGTGTGGTGTTGGAATGATGTACATATGAAAAGTATGTCACTGTCCTCCCGTTGTTCATCGATTTGCTCAAGCAGGCTCAGTAATGTCTCCATTGTGACAATTGTTACTGTGTTTGGCATATCGAATACGTCCCGGGTAGCTTGCCAGGCTTTGCAGTGCGGGTGAGATACTCCCAGTAGCTTGCTGGACTCTCCAGGAGGGGCGGAGGAATCGAACTCGGTTCAGCCATGTTGGCCGCTTGCAAGGCAAACGCCCTACCCGCTGTGCTATCGCTCCAACCCTGTAAATCCCAGCACATCAAAAAGTGGTCAAATTCTCACCCAGAAAAAAGGAAAGAGATCTTTCTTTTTCATGATATATACTTCAGAGAAGTAATATTATTATCGTACCTGTCAGCTGCTTTGCTTAGAAATACAACCTAAAGGATTCAGAAAATCCCTTTCCTAAGGGATTCAGGAAAAAAGGAACTGAGGGAATGAGGAGAGGGGGCTATTTATGGGGTAACAGAAACAGACCCTGAAGATAGAAAGGAAGGATGAAGTACATTGAGAAAATACGTGCTTGTTAAGCGTCAGAAAGAGAACGCCCAGTGTGAGTTATGGTTGGTAAGAAAAACTGAGAATCCCTTGAAAAAGATGTGAGGCTACTGTAAATGGACTTGGGGTTCATATCTCTGTGCCAGTGACAGAGAAAAGGTCAAGAGAAGCAGGAAGAGGGAATAGGGGGGATATGAGATGGAAGTGGACTAGGAGGAAGTGGAGGAGGGCAGAAGCACAGGAGGAGAAGTAAGAGGGGAGAGGCCTGGCCCAAATATCTAAGTATAACTTCATAGTGTTAATAAGCCAGGAAATACAATGTGTACCTAGCAAATAAGCCACCACAGACTTGTGCTTCATATCTGTCAAGTACTGAATGAAGAAAATAATAGTTACCTTTTGGGCAAAAGACATAACTTCAAAATGTATCTTTCCTGACCAGAATCATTAGCTACTTACAAAAGGTGATTAAAGCAGAAAATTATGTAAATGATACCCACACACCTTGAACAGTTTATCTTTAACATGAAACACATGTACATTCACTCACTGCTTTTTTTTTGATGTCAGGCCATGGACTTTTCTTTGAGCACAAACCCCTGATTGTCTTTCTTGCACTAACCACACCCACAAGCATCATCTAAGGTTTCCATTTGGGTTTCTTTAAAGCGTGGTGAGAATTGAAAGGCATTTGCAAAGCAAACGGAGTACCAAATGATTCTAGATTTTTATTATTTTTATCCTAATCATGTGCAGTTGTCTCATCCACACCTAATTTGCCAGCCGTTTTTCTTTCTTTCTTTTTTTTTTTCTTGGATCCTTGCCTTTGAGTCTTTCCAAAGCATTCAGCTTCAGTTTTTTCCCTTCTTTTTATAGAAACTACCAACCGCTCTTTTTCCCTTTGCATGTTCTTACAAGGGGTTGCCTACCACTTGACTACTATATTACGAGGCCACTGGCTCCAATTGGTCAGGTAATAGGCCTAACTCTAGAAAAGCACACTCCATTTGGTGGGAACTTGAAGTGTCCAAGTGTGCCAGGGAAGAACCTGCTGGAATCTTTTGTGGGAAGCCCTGTAGGAGCCAGGGAATGGTAGGCATAGAGACAAGGAAGAAATAAAATAGTTTTTTGGAGGCCTGCCTTGGCAAACCCTACCTATAAAAGGATGGCAAGCGTTTCGACAGTATTGCTTTTTTCTTTTTGCCTGGCACAGGCCTACACCTGGAACATGTCCTCCTCACTCAATACTTGACTGTGGTATCTGCTAGAACATTCTGTACCAAAAAGCACTTGATGAAATCAAGGTGTGATTCTTGGGCTACTCATTCCATGTGTACCCAAGTGGCTTTAGATGCCTTGATCAGCAACGACTTCGGGGGATCAAAAATTAACTACGACTTGTATGAATTTCCTTTTGAGGGTATCATCTTCTTCCAGTGCTCTGAGTTTTCTGATTGAGTTCGGGGGGGGGGCACTTAATAAACACTTTATCAATAAAAAAATGTCTCCATCACAGTGCTTCGTATGTTTTTGGTGACTGATATTTATTTCTTCCCTCTTTCCTTTCTTCTCACCAAACCAATTTTCTCTTTCCTTGCCATCCTTTCATACACTTGCTATTAACTATCCCTGAGTTTGGATCAAACCATGCCATTCATATAGCTACAAAGTGAGATAATAGAGTTCCCTCAAGAAAACCACCACAGTGGGGAATTTACCAGAGGTTGTGTGTTTTAAAAAGAGCGTTTGTGACTGAATGCTCACTTTTCCAGAGGCCCTGGCTCAGGAAAACACAAAGTGTAGCGAGAACCCGGAAAGAAGCAATAGAAACCAACCTGCAAACAGAATCACTGACTTTGTGTCGCGGCCCTAAACTGGAAACATCTCACTCCAGGAAAGCCCAACAGGCCATTTCCCGTGGCCAATTTGGGAAGCCCAGCCTTGGTTTGGCTGCAGCTTGGTTGTCTAGAGCTTTCCAAAGCCAAGACTGACAGAAGGGAGATGAGTTTCGAAGACACAGGCTCATCTGTGCTATGGGTAGCAGTGCCTGAGAGCAGGAAGGAGCCAGCGCTGGGCCAACTGGACTCACAGCTTCCCAGTGCCTTATCCAGCTCTGCTCCACAGACAGTCATAGTGAGATGTGAAAACACACAGATGCTCAGGAAATGAGCCCTGGTGAACAGGTTCACGAGCGCTAAGCAGACTGTATATCAGAACGTAGGAGAAACCAAATGAATGCCTTTTTTTTTTTGATTGTTTGCTTTGGATTTTTGGCTACATCTGGCAATGTTCAGGGTTTACTCTTGGCTCGATGCTCAGGGATCACTCCTGGCAGTGCCCAGCGGACTCTGTGTAGTGTTGAGGATCCAATAGGGGTCATTCACCTGCAAGGCAAGCTCTTTACCCCTTGTATTTTCTCTCCAATCCCAATAGAATGCATCTTTAAATTTGAGGTTTAAATGGCCCCCTTTATTTATTATTACATGATTTAGAACCTTCTCTAGTGAGAGTGGATAAATGAAGGTTTATTGTATCCACTTATTTTCTGATTATTTTTGCAAGCAACGACAGCAAGGAAAACAGATGTGGGAAGCCACAGCCTTGGACTGCGGGGAAGAAAATTGAGGCTATAAAATAACAAGTGCTTGGCTTTAAGGCATGTTATATCCATCCTCATGCAGCTCAAGAGCATGATGGTGAAGGGTCCGGGCCAATGGTGTGCCTGCTGTCGTTGAAATCAGGCTTTGCCACTAAGTAGGTATGTGTGCCTTTTGATAAGTGGGATAAACTTTGCTTTTCTGTGTATGTTTCTGCCCCATCAAGTGGGTGATGGGATTTCATTTGACACTTGGAAGCTTCAGAATGGGTGGAACTCATCAAGTCATTTGTATTGCATCTCTCTCTTTTTTTAAACATCAGCAGGTGTATTTTATTTATCTCAAAGTACACATTTTATTGACTTTTAATTCATTATCCTATATGCTTCTGAAGTTTTTTTCATCCCTCTGATCTTTGGGTGCTTCTGTTATTGCTCTTTCTTCGTTTCTTTCTTGCTCCTTCATTTTTTTAAAATATAAATTTATTTATTGAGTCACCGTGAGAGCAGTTACAAAGCTTTCAGTTTAAGTCTCGGTTATAGAATGATGAAACTACCCGTCTCTTCACCAGCGCACACTGCCCACCACCCAAACCCCCAATATACCCCCCAACCCACCCCCTCCCCCTACCTGTATGGCAGATGGTTTCCACATTACTCTCTCTCTCTACTTTGATTACATTCAATATTTTGACACCAGATCCACCATTATTATTTGGGATTTTTACCCCAACACTCACATCTACCAAAAAAGCAACATTAGACAATTTGTTTTCTAGTGCTGATAATGAATAGTATACAATGTTGTGAGGACATAATGTTGCTACTGCAGCTGCACAGTTTTGGAATTCTAAAATCTTAATAATTAAATCTGGGGGGATTTCTGCCAAAAGCCACTGGGTTGCGAGATTTATTTCTGAGTCTCTGGGATCATGGTTTAAGCCACTTGTTGAGTAGCCAGAGGGCTCGTTTGTGGGTAGCCTCATTGGTGAGGGGAGGAAAGGTCCGGCCCTGCCCCCATCCCATGAGGCCCCGCGTGTCTCCTCACTGCGGCCGGCCCTTTATAGAATGAAGCCCAGACCCCCAGTTCCATGATGTAAATGAAGCCCAGACCCCCAGTTCCATGATGTAAATCTTGTCCTGAATTTCAATAATTTAAATTATTTTTTACACGAGGAAATGAAATGATGGAGTCTTTAAAATTTAGAGCAACACTGAGCAAATAGCATACTGTTTTTACCCCACTTCTCTGATTGGTGTGAAACGTTGGGTTGTTTCAATTGCAAGGTGAATTGGAAAGTCTTGGTAGGAATGTGGCTTCCCCCACTGCCTGGAGGGGAGCGTGTGATTTGTTTGCCAAAGGCCCTGGTAGCCTTCAATCTGTCAAAACCTTGCAGGCTGGGAGTCCTTTGCCAAAGCAAACTATCAAAGTGAAATAACACATGAGTTGTGTGTGTGTGTGTGTGCGCGCGCAAGCGCGTGCTCACACACACACACACATACACACACACACACACATGCTTTCCCGTTCCCCAAACATGAATTTCAAATTGGGTCTGGAGGAACAGGATCAGGGCTATTTGGTCCCTGTTTTGAAGAGGTATGGGCACAGGGACAGATTCCCAATTAGAGAGTTCTGTGAGTGGGGCGGTCATGCTAACAGAGTCTGCTGAGCTGGGTGGGAAGCGTTCAGCCCTTGGCAGGGGTTCATCGAGCCCCTGGGGTTATATATTGCTCTGGCTGCTGTTACTGCAGCCCAAAGAATAATTTCCCCTTTGGGAGAATTTATTCTATTCCATTCAGAGTAGAGCCCATCTAATAACCAAGATTTTATTCCAGAATAAATTTTATGGGGTATCCTGATTCATTTTAGCTTCAGGGGCCCAACTTGAGGACAAAAAGTAGCATTGAAACATCTTACTCTCACTCGTGTTGCATTTTCGCAGCAAGAGACACCTGCAAGCATTTGGCTGCTATTGGTCATGTAAATCCCACAAGAAAGAATTTGGGGAGTTCACATAGATGTTCCAGAGCACCACTGTGGTTTTTTGTTTTGTTTTTGTTTTTATAAATCCCCCAACAAAAAGCACCCAAAGTTGCCTGGACATTTTATGAACTTGTTTATTTGTACTTTTATCTCCTTGCTGTAAATTTTATAAATCATGACATTGACTACTAATTTATTCATTCAGTGAATTAAGCCCTTATGGTACTGGCACTCTGCTCAGTGTTGGAGGGAAAGTACTGACAAACCAACCCCCTGATCTCGTGGAGCTTATATTTGATTGGTTAGAAGGGAGAAATTGAAATAAATAATGAGATGGAGGGGTGAAGAGACAGTAGTACAGCCCGGAGCGCACATGCCAATTAGGCCACCTGACCCAAGTTCAATTCCTGGCACCATATTGTCACTACTCCCTGAAGGCTCCAAGGAATGCTGGGCTGGCACGGTAACCCCTGCACCACGGGGCCTGAGGACCACCGTGTACTTGAGCCCTCACATGAATACTCCAATCAGAGTAGCCAAGAATCACCAATGGAACCCCAGGTCTCCTGAACTCTGCTTGGGAACTCCACCCTCTACCCTGGAAACAAAAAAATAAAAAATGCATGCTAGTGAGTATCATGGAGAAAAAGATACAGACTGAACTGGGAGAATTCATGCTGCTTTATTTAAGCCCAGGAAAGCCTTATGGAGAAGGAACAGCCCTGGGTGGACACCAGGAGTGAGTGCAGGAGCCATCGACAGGACCAGCAACCTGGGATGCAGTTCCCCTGAGATGGAAGAGTATCCCATCTCCCGGCTCTCATTCTCTCTGTCTCTGTTTTTCTGTATGTCTTTCTGTTTTTCTGCCTGTCTCTCTCTCCTCAACAATCTCTGAGAGTTTGGAAAGTATAAGCCAGGTTGAGCAGGGATGCAAAGCTACTCCTGATTGCAGTCGGAATCTGCCAAGAGCTTTGGAGGATTGATGTAGATACTACTGTAGAGAGCCACTGTTTTATTTTCTTAAGAAAAAACAAACAAGCAAAAACACCTTGGGGCCGGAGTGATAGTACAGCAGTAGGGCATCTGCCTTGCACGTGGCCTACCCAGGTTGGATCCCCGGCATCCCATAGGGTCCTCTGAGAACCGCCAGGAGTAATTCCTGAGTGCAGAGTCAGAAGGAACCCCTCAGAATCGCTGGATGTGACCCAAAAGATGGAAAAAGAAAGAAAGAAAGAAAGAAAGAAAGAAAGAAAGAAAGAAAGAAAGAAAACCACACCAACCTGGTTTGCGTTTCAAAGGAGTCAACAGTGCCAGAGGGTGCTACAAGCCTGGCTGTGTGCTGTGTGATCTCACATGTGCCTTCATTTGAGGTGCCTGATCCCTCTTTGCAGAGGAGTAAACAGAGACCCAGTGCAGAGTTTCCCCAAGTCATGGGACCAAGTACCTAGACCCCTGAGTTTTGGTGTCTGTTCACTGTCATTCAGAGGCATAGGTGGAGCCAGAGGGCATATGAGCAGAAGATAGTGGTTCTCTGCCCCCCAATCCCAGACTTTGTTGGCTGAGTCCATTGACTGTGGGTGAAGAGATTCGAGTCGTGATCTAAAACATCAGCCACTTTGCCATCTAGACCCGCGCTGTGGGCTTCCACATTGAACAGGACAGAGCCCCGTATTAGGCTTTGAGTCACACAAAACCAGAAGATTTCATGATCACAGAAAATTCTGTTGGTGTTACCTTGGCAAGTCATCAACTGGCTTTTGTTCTCTTCACCACTTATGTCACATTCTATTCTTTTGACCAGATCCCTTACTTGGAAGACTTTTATGTACAAATAGGCTACACTGAAAAAAAAAAAAAGCCCTAGGGTCAGGAAATAGTTCTCAGGTATGAACTCACATTTTGCACCCACAAGGTCCGAAGTTTGATCTTTGGATCAAAGATTATATTAAAAACTTGCCCCCACCCCCAAACACCCTAAGATAGGCCCAGCCATCACTGAAACCAAGTACCATCCACCTGCATAGCTGAACTGAGTAACTCAGGGAAAGGTTCCCAGCCTCTTACACTCAGCATGGCTGGGGAGGCCCTTATAAATTACAAAAGAAAAAGATACTGTGAATAGATACAAACATTTTAAAATCATACAATTAAAGCTTCTTACAAGCCCTAGACTGGGCTTTTTCTCGCCACAGACCCCTGACCAGGGAAGGGGTTGGCTGTTTTCTTCGCACTCCGGTTCTCCCTTGGTCAGTGTGAATTCCTCCAGGACATGGCGGAGGAGGGAAAAGTGGCTGGGCGAAGAGGCTACCCACTGGCATTGGTGCTGCTGTCCTTAAGTTAGCAATGCCTGTGTCTGAGATTCCTCTCTCAGAGGGTCTCCTCTTGCACATCTCCTGGTATAGGCCATTCTAGCACGGAAGGAAACCCTGGTGCACCCCCAGTTCCTGTCCCCAGGAGCCCATGCCCCTTGTCACCTTTCTTCAAGGGTCCCCTCACCCTGATGAGCCATTGTCTTTGTTGGGATTTTTTCTGGATTACCCACATTTAACTTATTCCTTTTCCACTCTGAACAGATGGTACATCCCTTACTTCTGGAACAGAAGTGCGTGTCATCAGGCTTCATCTGGCTCCAGATGCCATTGTGGGGTGACAGAAAGAATACATTTACACTGTCCCCACAACTCTGAGCCATGTGTTTCATCCCTAAGGCATAGTGCTCAGCTAGGCGGCCCACATCTATTCTGTGTAGAGTATGAGGGCTAGGCTGGTTTCATGCAGTATGGGGTTTGGGTGGAATTTGGGGTACTTAAAGATGGAAAGAGTCTTTTCTAACTTGACAAGCCATAACCCCAGATTTAGATAAACTTTCTCTTCTCCATTTCTGCTGGTGAGCTTTCCAGGACCGTGTTTCCACCTGTGTTAAGTTGCTTGTGAATCACTGGATTAATTCATTTAACTGCTCCAAGTTAAACCCTGAAAAGAATGAAAACAAACACACACCACCACCTAGTAGGACGGATGCATTGACTCAAGTGACCTTGGGTACTGAAACAAATTGCCACAGCTCACCTCTGCTCTGACTTGGTCACTGTGTCAGGACTTTTGGCCTCTGTCCCCATCCTTGAGGAAAAGGGGAAGTTGAGCTCATGGGACTGGTAGAATTGGGGTTCCAGTCTGAAGTGCCTGAACCCTGCCACTGCCACTCCCAGTGCACCCTGCCACTCCCAGTGCACCCTGCTGCCACTGTCCAGCTGGCTCTGCTACCCACAGTGACAAGCCCTCATCAGGACTGGTGACATTGGGCTTAACACAGCTAATCCTGCCCAGGGAGAACACAGGTGACACTGCTGCTAAGGACAGGCTAAGGAGAGTTCCAAGGGAATCCTGGACTGGAAGGGAGGAATCTCCCTACTTAACTGAGTGCCTCTCTTTGACCTTGATTTTTCCCCTTTGAGAAGACCATGCAATCGCCCAGGGCTCTTGCTCTGAGTCACGTGGTGCTTAATGTTACCCAGTCCTCCCTGAACCCCAAGCCAGCTTCTCCGTTTCTCCCCAAGGGATGATGAAAGAGATTGAGGCTCAAAAAAAAATCAAGGTCCTGGGGGCCAGAGACATAGTACAAGTGGGCAGGGCACTTGCCTTGCATGTGGCCAACCCCAGTTCAATTTCATGGTTCCTCCATGTAGTCCCTTGTGCACTGTTAGGAGTGATTGCTGGGTGTAGAGCATGAAATAGAGGTCCTATGTAAGTGGGGAAAGTTGGACAGGATCCTGGATCTGCCCCACGTCACAGCCTGATCCATGCCACTGTGCCATCAGCCCCTACATGGTACGACCCTCAGTATCTGTATTGGCTCGCTCCTAAGGTGAAATGTTCTCTCCCTTCCGTGGTGGGCTGCAGATACTGCTGTTTGGGTTGGCGCTGCTGCCTAGGGCGTACTCACAGCATTGTCTGTTGTCACTTTCCCTCCTCAGCATTCTGGGCTCTGCTGTCCTGCTGCTTGTATTCCAGCTGGTCTGCTCACAGCCCTCTACTGAGCACAGAAAGGTAAGCCACGGCCTGTTCAGGGCCTTCTTTCTGCATGAGGGGGTGGGCTGCTCTGGTCACTGAGCTTGGTGCTACTTCAAAGTCAGTCACTGCTAACTGTGAAAGAAAACATGCCTTTTATTGCAAAGGCCCTCTTAACCCCTGGAGTGAAAAGAAGAAGCTGGATGAAGAGTCTTCCTCTGGGCTGACAGAGTGCTGACTTCACAGCTGAATGGGTTGCAAAGGAGGTTAAAGGGCCAGTGATCAGAATCTCTCCACTCCCACCTTTAGGAATAATGGGAGATAACATGGGTTCTTCCAACATCTCCTTCTGGGGACCCTTCTGGGAAGGTAGAGAGGAGGAGAAGGGGAAAGGTGTGTCCTGCTGTGGCTGTAGTTCTGTAGGAGCCCCATCAGGGACTTGTGGGGTCACATCTACCTATGGCATAAGGACAGTCATGGGTAGGGAGGGCAGCAGGGAAATAAGGACCCAGCCCTCTCTTTGTCTTGCCCACTTCCAGTTCTGGCTGGCAACAGACATTAGCAAAATCCAACCCAAAGGAAAGGCAAGCCTTTAATGCTTTCCCCTTGGGCCACAAAAGTTGGAAAGCGGCTTTGATGAGACAGATAGAATCTGGCACACTACCTTTAATGGGATTTTTGTTTGTTTTTTGGTTTTGATCTACATGCTGCTGTGCTGAGGACTTACTCCTGGCTCAGGGATCACTCTTGGTGGGACTGAGAGGACCATGTGGCATGCCGGGGATCCATCCTAGGTCGGCTGCATGCAAGGCAAATGCCCTACCCACTGTACTCTATTACTCTGGCCCCAGTAACAATTCTCCTTAGGCTCTATGTGTTTTACAGAAAATGAATCATTAAGTCATTGTCATGGAAACCAGCTTACAGCTGCCCCACCATGCAGCATGTTTCCTTAGAAAAAGATCTATGAGCCCACGAGCAAGTATGGCGTGGAGGCTTTTGCTTTGCATGCATGCAACTCTAGTTCAATCCCGGGTACTATGTGGACTATCTGGTCCCTTGAGCACAGTCCAGAATGATGACTAAGGAGTAACCCAGCAAAAAGAAATTGATGCAATTACTCTGAGAAGTTCTCTAAACTTCTGTAATCTGGGAGCTCCTCAAATATAAATTAAAAAAGTGACACTTGGACAGGAACCACAGGGCAGCTGTGTATTAAAGTGTGACTGAGTTGATCAGATCTTTTCCTAAGTTTTCAGGGAAGGGGAGTCTGGAAGGGAATGGAGGCAGAGAAAAAGAGTCCATGCACATTTCTGCCTGCACACAACCCTTCTTGAGAACAGCATGATCCTAGTTAGTCTCATTTCCTTTCCATGTGCGGATTCAACTCTGCTTTTGTTTTTCCATATATGCTGGGTATAAGCCTGTATGGCCACGTTTCTCTGGTAGGGCTGTCAGCTGCCTAAAAGTGGAATCTTGCCTGTTTTGATCATGGCCATAATCCCAGCTCCTGGAATCCAGCCCAGCATGTTAGAGGTGCTCAGAAAATACCTGTTGAGTGACTGAGTAAGTAGAAAGCCTGGCTAGGGTCTAAACATCTTTTGGTTGGAGTCACTTGGAAATGTAAAGACTCTCACTCCAGTGCACCCTCCCTATGCAAAATGCCAGAAATCAGAAAGGACAACACTATGGATGATCACATGTGCTGCGTCCTTCCTCCACTCCCCCAAGCCTCAGTGGCATCCCAATCTCCAGTGTGATTTGGAGGTGAGAACTTTGGGAGGTGAGTAGGTCTTAGGGGTGAGCTCTCCTGAATAGTAGGGAAGGAACTGGTGCTCATATTAGTCCCTACTGAGTGCTACAGGCACCACTGCAGTTTTCCACTGGCAGTCGGGGTATGGAGAGAAGTTTGCGGTCAGGGTACCCCCACCTTCTTGGCCTCACACTTCCAGCCTCCAGGAGTGTGAGAAATACATTCCTGCTGTTTCTCCACAATGCAGTCTGGGGTACCTTGTTTTAGCAGCCCAACAGGACTAAGATGAAATTTGAAATTGACAGGTTGAGATGCTGCCAAAATAAATACCTCACCTGGTGGTGGTGATTTCGGAACTGTTTCATCACCAGACAGAGACTGATAGAGTTTGGAAATGTGTGTTAGGAAAGGCCAGTGAAGTCAGGAGTCAGACCACTCAAAGGTGAATCAGGTGAGAGCCCAACAGGGAGAGAGGGGCGTGGTAGAGAGAGTCTCATTCTCCTTAGCAGGCCCCTCAGCAAGAACATATCCCCCAAGTGAGACAGTCAGTAGACATACATGGCATGTAAGCCCTCCCAAGAAAATGAGCAGTACTTCATTGGAAACTCAGGGCAAGGCTAGAAGCCCATCCCCACCCCTCCAGTCTCATGTGGGGCCAAGCACTGGGTTATTATCAAGCATAGAAGTTTAACAGAAGTTTCTCATTGGGTTTTGGGCTTATTCAGAATTAGGCATTCCTTTCCTCTTCCATCTCTCTCCCCTTTGAACGGGAAGGTTTGCCCAGTGCCTGATTGTGGCTGTAGTTTGGAAGTGTCTATCATGTATGATTTCACAGTTTCTCAGCTGGAGAGCAGTCTTCCTCAGGGTGAATCCATCTCTGACTGTGATTATATGTAGATGCGACTTTGGGCTTAGATTTCTGAGTTGATGCCCGAGCAAGTAAAGGCTTTGGAGTTACAGGAGGGAAAGAATGCATTTTGCTGCATATTTTGATTTGAAAAAATTAGTAGGGGTTCTCCCACGTTGGTATACCAAACCTATTTATCAGAATATTGTTAATACTGTCAGGTGAGTGCATCAGCAACCTGATGGCGCCTTCAGACTTCTAGATACCCCCAAATTGCTGCTGTGCCTTTGTCCAGACCCCAACAATTTGGGGCCAAGTTTACCAAGAAAGTAAATGGCCAAAATTTAGGCATGTGGGAGACACACCCACAAACCATCTCCAGCTCAGCTATATAATTGGAGGCATGGCCTCTCTGGTTCCTGATCAAACTGCTTAATGGCTATGATCCCAGAGACTCAGAAACAAATCTTGGAACCCAGAGGATTTTGGCAGAAATGTGTCCGGTCCCTGCAGGAGGTTACCAGCAGCGGACCACCCTAGGGGGGGAAAGGGTGCTGTCCCTCCACCTGCTCCTGCTTGGTGGCTGGGTGGCTGCTATCCTCCAGAGGCCATTGGACAGTCAGGTTTGGGCCTGCAGTGACAAGACACTGGCTGGGCCTCACGGGTTGGGTGTGGAGCTGGCCCTTTCCTCCCCACCCCAATGAGACCCCAAGTCACCACCCACGCATGGCCTCTCTGGCTCCTGATCAAGCTGCTTAAAAGCCATGATCCCAGAGACTTAAGAACAAATCTCGGAACCCAGCAGGTTTTGGCAGAAATCCCTCCAGATTTAATTGTTAAAATTTTGGAATTCCAAAATTGGAATTCGACCATATCCACACGATAACCAAGCTCATTGAGGTTTCTCGGGAGTTCAAGATGCCGCTCTGCTTAACGTTCATTGATTTAAAGAAGGCCTTTGATTCTGTTGAGACGGAAGCGATCATTGAAGCCCTAGCCAATCAGGGCATTCAAGCCCAATACATCAGGATCCTCCGTGAGCTGTATTGCGGATTCACTACCAGGATCTCACCATTCTACAAAGAAGTGATCGTTGATGTCAAGAGAGGGGTGCGGCAGGGTGATACCATTTCACCAAAACTCTTCAGTGCCACCCTCGAGAACATCATGCGACGACTGGAATGGGAAGGAATGGGAGTGAAGATAGATGGTCGGCAACTACACCACCTCCGCTTTGCTGATGACATTGTTTTAATAACACCAAACATCAGCCAAGCGGCACAAATGCTGGCCGACTTTGACCGTGAGTGTGGAAAGGTAGGACTACAGCTGAATCTTACGAAGACAATGTTTATGAGAAACAGCCTTATTCCTGACGCCCCATTCGCTCTCAATGGAACGACCATCTCCGAATGCAACAGCTATGTCTACCTAGGTCGAGAGGTCAACATGAGAAATGACCTGGCACCCGAGCTGCGCAGGAGGAAGAGAGCGGCTTGGAACGCCTTCAAGAACGTCGAAGAAATAGCTAAGAGGACGAAGAACCTCCGGCTCCGGGCACATCTCTTTGATTCCACTGTTCTTCCTGCATTAACATATGCCTCAGAGACCTGGGCCCTACGCAAACAAGATGAGAACGCCATTCAGGTCTCCCAAAGAAGAATAGAAAGAGCTATGCTTGGAATATCACGTTTCACTCAAATGAGAGAACGAATCCGGAGTTCTGACATCCGTCGACGATCAAGGATCAGGGACGCTGTCTCATTTGCCAAGGTGTCGAAAATCAGATGGGCTGGTCACGTAATGAGATTTAAAGACGACCGTTGGACTAGAGCTGTTACTGATTGGATTCCACGGGATGTCAAGAGACCGCGTGGCCGCCCACCTACCAGATGGTCAGACTTCTTTGTCAAGGTCATGAACGATCGGTTTGAGGCCCTCCATGTTCCCGGAGCGAAGAGATGCCATTGGGCTACACTAGCACGCGACAGGGACAAATGGAGACGTTACTGGCGCCCGCTCGAGCAAATCGACGACTAACGGGAAGTTAAGTGATTAAGTGATTGGAATTCCAAAATTGTGTGGCCACTACTGCAGCTGTGCAACATCATATGTTATTCATATCCAGCAATAGAAAACAAATTGTCTACATTTGCCTTTTCAGCAGGTCTGAGTGTTGGGGTAAAATTCCAAATAATAATGGTGGGTCTGGTGTCAAAATATTGAATGTAATCAAAGTAGAGAGAGAGTAATGTGGAAGCCATCTGCCCCACAGGTAGGGGGAGAGTGTGAGATGGGGGAAGTATACTGGGGTTTTTGGTGGTGGAAAATGGACACCAATGAAGGGACAGATGTTTCATCATTGTATGACCAAGACTTAAATCCAAAAGCTTTGTAACTACTCTCACAGTAATTCAATAAATAAATTTATAAATAAGA